TTATTATTATTATTATTATTATTATTATTATTATTATTATTATTATTATTTGTTTTGTTTTACATTCATTGATTTGGATGGGAGCTCTTGTGCCATGGTATACATATAGAGGTCAGAGGACAATTTATCAAGCGGGTTCCAGGAACTCCGGTTGTCAGGCTTGGTGGCAAGTGCCTTTATCCACTGAGCCAAAGAAGGGCACCCCTTTCTTTAGTAATGTGTATTCACAATGTTGTCTTTTAGAGTAAAGGTTTTTATATAGCAATTTGATGAACAGAAGTTCTGAACACTTTTTTACGTGTTCTAGAGGTCACTTTTCCCTCAGGCATTCATTGCCAGTTGTTTCTTGTAGGGATGGAATTTCCCAACAGGCTTCCTGTTTGTGGATAGAGAAGCTAATGCTTGTGCTTTTTTGCTCAAATGAGAAGCCAACTGTTGGTATCTTTAAGAGCATGTTAATATTCCAGTTGTGGTCAGAGTGACTCAGTCTTCAGTCATGAGGCACTTTGCCATTACAAAGAGAAGCAGCCTTTATCTTGTTAGATTCAGTCACTAGCCTGACTTTCCTGACAGTTCGATCCTGATTCTCACAGAAACTACCAGATGAATATGGGTATTTGTTCATTTGTAAGGTTGAATATGATGTAGAAACATAGTTTCATGAATATTAAAAGCTAAACCAGGTCAAGCATGGTAGCACATAAACTTTAATCCCAGTTCTTGGAAGACAGAGGCAGGAGGATCTCTGTGAGTTACAGACTGGCATGGTCTACATAGAGAATTCCAGGTTAGCCAGGGCTGCATACTGTCTCCTAAACAAAAAAGAAAAAGGCCATCAGCATTGCTTATCCAGTATTGTTTTATACACAGTTCTGGTGATGGATGGGGAGACAGGTCGCCCCCTTTAAGAGCGATGAGGTCATAGGCTGAGGCAGTGTTTTGTATCCATGGGCTCTGAACTCCACTTAGTAAGTGGAGACTTAATGTTTTTAAGACAAGCACAGGACATTAGGTGCATTGTGTGCAGAAGAGGTGCTACAGCTCATGCCTATGCGCGCACGAGTGCTGGTGAGCAGTTTAATGTTTCTTTGTTGCTAAAGATGATGGGGGAAACTGAGGCCTGTGCTCTAAGCTATCATCTAGGCTACCTTTGAGGCCTGGTTCACAGATTCAGTTTCTTAAGCAAAGAAAATTTGAGAACTTTTTTTTTTGAAAGATAACAGGATTTTAAATTTTCAGTTTTCAAGGAAAATTATAATAGGTAATATTGATCAAGCAGTATAACAGCGCTGGTAAATTTTAGCATTTTTATATTAGTTGACTCTGATGACATCTTTGAGGAGTGTTGCCACTGCACTTCACAAAAGAAAAAAATGTGAGGCCAAAGGGAGGTTGCTGGCTTGCCCACCTTATTCAGGTACTGGGTGATTTGTCTCCACCCAGCTCCACAGGACTAAGCCTCTAAATGTGCACAAGGAACTGACACATGAGAATGAGAACATGGCTTTTTTTTTTTTTTTTTTTTTTTTTTTTTAAGAGTGAAGGTTTTAGAGTAACATGGATTGGGAATGAAACACTGGAGATGAAATGAGACAGACTGAAGGGCAGGTGTGTGAAGGCTCTCCCACTTGTCCTAGCAGCACTGTTCTGGGCACTGTCTGCTTTAACAAGTACATAGAAAGGAGCACCATCAGAAACATTGGTGTAGAAGACAAGTTGGAATAAAGAAACAGGGATATGGTTAAAAAAAAAAAAAAAAGGAGACTGGCTTAGTCGGAATTTCTGTGTGTTGAGTGGTTAACAGTTACCATTTAGTGAATGCCTATTCTGTGCCAGGGGTTATAGTAATGCTTTGAGATACTCTTTTTATTTAGATAAAGAAACTAGGACCAAATAACTAACTATGGTAAAACCCTGAGAAACGATATAGTCCAGACTTACTACTGAACACATGGCAAACTTGTTTATTTCCCACAAGTGTCAGTTTTCTGCTAAAGCAGTTCATGGATTTCCAAATTCCTTTGGATTGTACCGAAGTAAGTTTGAAAGGATCTTTTGAGTAAGCATTTTTGGCTTCTAAAATGTATTCTGTGTGTGTGTGTCTGTCTGGTGGGCACACATACTAATGTGTGCATATGGGTGCATAAAAGCCAGAAATTATCATGGGGGGGGGTTCTTTCTTAAATCACTGTCCATCTTATTTTTGGAGACAGTCTTTCACTGAACCAGGATCTTACCAACTGGCTAGTCTGGCCAGTCAGTGAGTTCCCAGGATCTGTTTGCCTTGCCTCCCAGGACCAGGGTTACAGGTAACCTGTGCCCGGCTTTTACATAGATGCTAGGCTGGCCTTTGTGAATTCATATTCACCTCTCTGGTTATGGAGCAAGAACTTGCCTCACTGAGCCATTTCCCCAGCCTTCTTCTCAATTTATAAAATAATCTGTTAGTATTCATGAGTTTAAAAATACCACTGTTGCTCAGTGTGGTGAAGATATAAAAGAATGTTACAAGCCAGTTTTCTCAGAAGTGGCTTGCACATCATCTACAATTTGAGCTTCTGTCCCTGGTTTTCATTGTTTTAAATTTCTCTTGAAAAGTTCCTCAGAAAGGCTACTCAAACTGTATAGAAGTTCATCGAGATGGATAGGCTTTGGGTCTACTTAATCTTGATACATGATTTTATTTGCAAGGTTTTATAATAAAATTTCAGTAAATAAAAAAATTATCAAGATGTATTTAAAAATAGAGAGTTTAATGAGTCCTATCACACCCTCATAATCCAGTCTCAGCTCAAACTTGTCTGTGACACCAGGCCCTCACAGTTAACACTATTTCATTAATGCTGCTTCAAGAGGTAAAATACTCTGAAATAGAACTTTAGTCTTTTCAAAACCTTATGAATTAGTATTTTCCTAACACATACTTTGATTACTCTAATTGTCTTATAAGGATCCTTTGTATTTTATTTGGTTGTTTTGTGTTTCCGGGGAACAAACCCTGGGCTGTGGAGCTAGATCCCCACTGTATATACATCCCCAGTCCTGACTTGTTTATTTGAGTCAAGATTCAGGCAAGGTCTTTATTAGCCTTTATAGGTGATAATTTATCACTCTTTCTTCCCTTCTCCTCCCTCCCCTCCCCTCCTTTTCTTGATATCTTTATTTCCTGAAAACTTAAAGTTAGATCTAGAATCTTGGTCAGATTAAAGTTTGATAGTTATTGCTGACAAAGACGATTCATGGGTAATACTGGATGGATCTCATCCTGTCATTCCAGGAGGTGAGTTAAGGTGTTAATAATGCTTGAGGTTTTGTTTTGTTTTTTTTCTCTTTTTTTCATTAAAAAGTTCCCTGCCAATCTGTTGTGTAATTCTTTTACATCCCTCTCAGGGTCAAAATGCATAGATCCCTTATTCAATTGGGTGTTTCAAAAGCATATTATAGTTTCATCTCCTTTCTGTGTTTAGTAGCTGGAAAGACTTCCATTTAGTAACCCTAAAAATGTAGCTTGCATAGGAAATGCGACATTGTGACACTTTTCCTGCAGACATTGTTTCTGTTCACCCCCTACAGAGAGGGCAGAGACAAGCCAGAGATGATTCCATCCAAGGCCTGGTTGGTGAATCAGTTTATTGAGTCTGCTTACAGGACATTGGGTGACTCAGGCAGTTTAATCACCAAAAGCCTGCTCCTGCCTGCCTGATGACTCAAGATGGCTACATTATGGCTGTCCTCTGCAAAGCTTGCAAGCGGTGACACCACAAAGAGTTATGCCTGTGACCCAGCAATTTGTTTTTTCCTGATAATATCCTCATGCGAAGGCTCTGGAGTCCTGTCAATTTCTGCTGAGTTTCTTGAGTCTCCTTAGTGTCCCTGCTCCCTCCAGGATGGATATTTCTGTTTGAGGAAGTAACTACATCAAAGGCAGAATAAATATTTCTCCTTTTTTTTTTTATTTTTTTTTCAAAGAGTATATATTCTCTGTGTGTGTGGTTGTGTGTGTGTGTTTTTTTTTAAACACACTGATTTTTTTTTTTAATTCTTTAAAACCTGAACTTTTGGTTCAAGTAAATAGAAGGCACGGAGGCACACACAGTATAGTGAAGACATGACTGATGAGAAGACAGTCTCATCCTCATTTATAGTTTCACCAAAATCATCCACACCAGAATTATCTTCTTTATTACACTTTATTCACTTTGTATCTCAGCTGTAGCCCCCTCCCTCGTCCCCATCCAATCCTGCCCTCCCTCCCTCTTCTCCTCCCATGTCTCTCTCCCAGTCCACTGATAGGGGAGGTCCTCCTCCCCTTCCATCTGACCCTAGGCTATCAGGTCTCATCAGGACTGTCTGCATTGTCTTTCTCTGTGGCCTGGTAAGGCTGCCCCTACCCCTCAGGGGGAGGTGATCAAAGAACCAGCCACTGAGTTCATGTCAGAGGCAGCCCCTGTTCCCCTTACTAGGGAACCCACTTAGAGACTGAGCTGCCATGGACTACATCTGTTCAAGGGGTCCTAGGTTATCTCCATGAATGGCCCTTGATTGTAGTATCAGTCTCATAAAAGACCTCTGTGGCCAGATATTTTGGTTCTGTTGCTCTCCTTGTGGAGCTCCAGTCCTCTCCAGGTCTTTCTAGCTCCCCCTTCTTTCATAAGATTCCCTGCACTCTGCCCAAAGTCTGACTGTAAGTCTCAGCATCTGCTTTAATACCCTGCTGGGTAGAGTTTTTCAGAGGCCCTCTGTGGTAGGCTCCTGTGTGTGTCCTATTTTCTCCATCTTCTGATGTCTATCCTGTTTGCTTTTCTGAATGAGGATTGAGTATCTTACCCAGGGTCCTCCTTGCTTAGCTTCTTTAGGTGTACAGATTTTAATATGTTTATCCTATATTGTGTGTCTAATATCCACTTATAAGTGAGTATATACCATGTGTATCTTTTTGCTTCTGGGTTACCTCAGGATGATCTTTTCTAGTTTTCACCATTTGAATGCAAATTTCATGATTTCCTTGTTTTTAATTGCTGAGTAGTATTCCATTGTGTAGATGTACCACAATTTTTGTATCTATTCCTCAGTTAAGGGGCATCTGGGTTGTTTCCAGATTCAGGCTGTTATGAATAAAGCTGCTATGAACACGTTTGAGCAAATGTCCTTATTGTATACTTGAGCATCTTTTGGATATATGCCTAGGATATATGCTAGATCTTGAGGAAGCGCTATTCCTAATTGAGGAAGCGCCAGATTGATTTCCAAAGTGGTTGTACAAGTTAACATACCCACCAGCAATGGAGGAGGGTTCCCCTTTCTCCACAACCTCTCCAGCATGTGTTGTTACTTGAGTTTTTGATCTTAGCCATTCTACTGGGAGTAAGGTGAAATCTCAGGGTCGTTTTGAGTTGCATTTCCCTGATGACTTAGGATACTGAACATTTCTTTGTTTCTCTGCTATTCAGTATTCCTCTATTGAGAATTCTCTGTTTTGCTCTGTACCCTATTTTTTAATTGGATTACTTGGTTTGTTGCTGTTTAACTTCTTGAGTTCTTCATATATTCTGGATATTAGCCTTCTGTCAGATATAGGGTTGGTGAAGTCCTTTCCCAGTTTGTTGGCTGTCATTTTGTTCTGTTGTCCTTTGCTTTACAGAAGCTTTTCAGTTTCATGAGGTCCCATTTATTATTGAGACAGGTTTCTCTGTGTAGCCCTGGCTGTCCTGGAACTCCCTGTGTAGACCAGGCTGTCCTCAAACTCAGCCATCCACCTGCCTCTGCCTATCAAGTGCTGGGACAGTCTATATTCTTAAGAAACTCCAAAGATGACCAGTGAGAGGAGTGTGAGTGTGTTTGTAATACTTTTGAACTCATAGATGCTAATGTGAACCATCAATTCTAATGTGAGTAGTTTGGTTTTTGTTACCGGGAGAGGGGAAGAGATAGTTTAATAAGATAAGACTCTAAGAAAGATGATAAAGTTGAGTTTTATTTGAAATAATGAGTGTGAGGTATGGAATATGCCTGTTTATAGCTATGAAAAGGGAAAGTTGTCCCCAGGGTAAAGATTAGATGAAATGGTTTCATTAAGTATATTGTTTTCAGTATTAAATGGAAAAGCTGACTAGTGGCAGAAATAAGAGTGACAGCTTCGTATTTTATGAAGGATAGGTAGTTTTAAACATACGTAAAAAACATAGAACTTTCCCCCCTTGCACATCAATTCTCTGTGCTTTCATCCCGTGCTTACTGAAAAGAATTAATACATGTGTGTATGTCTTCTCTTCTCATTAGAGTCCCAAGAGTAGCCTGAAAGAAAGGATTTATCTAGAGGAAACCCCAGAGAAAAGTGAAGGACTTCAGGACACTGTGAGTATGAATCCATGCAGTGCGCGTCCCCTTTGCTTTTGAGAGTGAACACAGTATGTGACACACGTACTGACAAGTGCTGCACAGTTGAGCTATGTCTCCTTTACCTGTCCTTGTTTCAAGATGTGCTCCGAGGATCTCGTGCTGTGTGGGAGAGAGGGTATGGGACAAAACAAAACTAGTTTATTAGACGAATTTAGGAAAGATTTGAGTAAGTAGAAAAGTATTCCATAACATTTTTTTTTTTTTTTATGGCAAAATATGTCATAAACTTTGCCATTAACTTTTTTGTTTGTTTTTTTGTTTTTCCAGACAGGGTTTCTCTGTGTAGCCCTGGCTGTCGTGGAGCTCGCTCAGAGTTCTGCCTACCTGAGTGCTGGGATTAACAACATGCCCCACTACTGCCTGCATACTAGCTATTTTTACTGTGTGTGTGTGTGTGTGTGTGTGTGTCTTTGTGTGTATATCTAAGTGCATTCTTATTGCTTTGCAACTGTCAGCACTTTATATCTCCAGAATAGTTTGTTCTTCAGCTGAAATCAGATGCCATTGAATGCTCAGTCCATCTGCCCTTTTCCCATCCCTGACAGCCACCATGCTTTCTGTTTTTATGCTTGGACTGCATATTATTTGACCTGTTCACATAAACAGACTCACATAATATTTTTCCTTCTGTGACTGGATTATATCAAGTAGGATAATATCTTCAAGTTTGCCCTTGTTATAGCATGTGCCCAAATTTTGTTCCCCTTTAAGACTGATTGTCTCTTTTACTCTCTCCCTCCCCCTTGTGCATATACTAAACAATGTAATATTTAGATAGTTAGTTTTAAACACATAAGAAATTTAAACCTCATCTATGTGTATGCACGGTCATGTGCCACTGTGATACTTTAGTCCTTTTGGGTATGCATTTAGTGGTGCAATTATTGGATTTTCATATTCTTTAATAAGATTTTTTAAAATATTACTCATTTTTATTGTATGTGTGTATGATGTGGAGTTGTTTCTGTTCTTCCACCTTTCCACTCAGGTCCCTGGGCTTTGTGGCGAGTGTATTTACTTGCTGGACTCTCAGTTGCCCTGGGTTTTACATACTCTTGGTAGAATGCTTTAGCATTATGATTTTATTTGGTCTTTTAAATGTTGGATGCTTTGCCTGCATATGTGTCTGTGCACATGTGTGCAGTGATGCCAGAAGAGGACATCCATATCCCCTGGAACTGGTGTCTGCAAACTCCCATGTGGGCACTGGAACCTGAGCCCAAGCCCTCTCTAAGAGCAGAAAGGAATCATTAACTGCTGAGCCATCTCTCTAGCCCCTTGATTTTATTTTTTAATAAATGTATGTGGAGTTTTATTTTAAAAGATTTAACAGAATTTTGTGATATTATCAGCAACATTTTTAATAGTCAGAGACATCAAGTTACAAAATGAAAAATTGACCATTGTTGAAAATAAATGTCTATTGTCTCACCTAGTTTTTAAAACATTAAAAATTTGAGGTCAGAGAAAACAAAAACAATTTTTAATAAGTAGAAATAGAATAGGAATGGAATTATAGGCTGCTGGCAGACCATTGTCTAGCATGACCAAGATTCTGTGTTTTAGTCCTAGCATCACAGAAAAGAAAAAAAGATATGAGCCACTTCTATGTCCTTTTATTATAAAGTGTAAGTATGTGTGAGTTAATGAGTGAAGTATTAAAAATGATAATACTCCAGTGGAATACACCTTTAATCCCAGTATCAGGAGGCTGAGGCAGGCAGATCTCTGAGTTTGAGGCCAGCCTAGCCTACAGAATGAGTTCCAAGACAGCCAGAGCTACACGGAGAAACCCTGTCTCAAAACAAACAAACAAACAAACAAACAAACTAAAGTGAAAAGACTCCTGAAACCAAAGGTACAATGAGCAAGGAGGGTTTATTAGTCTCAAGGAAATGTTGACTCCCATCCCTTTCCCTCTTTCCTGTTCTGAGAAACAGCCAGTGCTCTGTGGACATTTGACTTTGAACATTTGAGAACAGATGCTTTGAAAATAAAGCAATAAAGACAGTAATTAAAAGGCACCCCACTGATGAAGTGAGCCATCCATTTCTTTGTCTTCCTGGCTGGCCTGGAACTCACTATATAGATGAGGCTGGCCTTAAATTTGTAATAGCCTACGTACCAGCCACCCTGCCCAGTCCCTATAGTTTGGTTTTATCCTGTCTTTGCCTTTGATTGTCAACTCATTTTTCTGTTGCTCTTCTCTGTTACTAGGACACGCAGTCGCTGGTCGGCAGTCCCTCCACCCGTGGAGCACCTCATATTATTGGGGCAGAGGATGATGATTTTGGTACTGAACATGAGCAGGTAATGGCACTTGCTTTAAAAAACTAAACTATCAACTCTCTAAGATGTCTGACTTGATAAACATTCTTTGGAAGTTGCAATAAAACTTGTTAAGGAAGCTGAATCTTAAAAACCCAGCACTTTGAGCGGGTTGCTTGTTTTTAGCTTTGAACAGTAGAAACTAACTGTAGGCTGCAGGTGTGGGCTCATTTTGTGAATACTTGAGTGTTTCACTTATTGGGGTAGGATGTTACTGAACCTGATACTTAAAAGTAAAGTTTACACTCCTAGTTACTCATTGATGGAAGGACCATGATTAGCCTAATTCTTGTCTTTTTACCCTGTGGTCTTGCTAAACTCAATGAATATTTTTAGGAATTTTTAAATTTTTTTTAGTATTAGAAAGATTTTTGAGGTGTGGCCTTATGTAGCCCAGGCTAACCTGAAACTCTCAGTGTAGCTGATAATGAACTTGAACTCCCTCATGTTTCCTTGTCTCCCAAGTGCTGGGATTACTGTTATGTACCGCCACTCTGACTTTCTAGAAGTTTTTTAACAGAAGTGTTTGGAGCCCTTAAGAGGCAAGAGGATCATGGGTTTGAAGCTAACCTGTGCTGGTTACATTGTAAGATCCTCTCTTGGTTTATTTTCAAAAACAAAAATAACAAAAAATAGTTTTATATTTTTTTAATAAAATAGTCACATTGTTTCTTAGAGAAAAGGCTTTTGTTTCATTTTTTTTTTTTTTTTCTACTTTATGTATCTCTTTCTTGTTCCTGCCTTTACTGTGTGGCTAGGACTCCTAGCAGGAGGCTGAGTCAGTTTGGAGGGACCCTTGCTTTGTAATGCCCTCTTAGGCAGAAAGTATTGAGTTCTTCGTGCTAAAGTATGTGACTGACTGACAGCTGTTTTTGTAGATAGTTCTGTTTAGGTTAAGGGTTACAACCTAAAGAAGAGTCCTAGGTTAATGGGAACTTTCTTTTTCTTTCCTTCTTTAAATCTTGACTGGGTGTTGGTTTTTGCTGAGTGACTTAGGCCGATTAGTTTTTCTGATTTACTCTCTAAACAAGAGAGATTACATTGGTTAATGTTACTGAATTAGTCTTGCATTACTAGAATGGCTCCCAACCAGTTGTGACATATCATCACTTTAAATTTTATTTAGGATTTTTTTAGTGTCTATATGACTGTGCCAGTGTGTAATTGTGTGCACACATGAACACAGTACAAATATGTAGGTCAGGGAAAACTTTTGGGGTTGGTTCTCTCTTTATAGCTTGTTTTGAGGCAGAGTCTCTTACTATTTCTGCCAGTGTGCTGCTGGTGCAATTTTGGCCAATTCTTTACTTTCTGCCTCCCATCTGGCTGTAGGAATGCTAAATTATAGATGTGTGCTACCACAGCTAGAGGTTTTTAATGTACTTATTTTTATTATATGTGTATGAGTGTTTGCCTGCTTACGTGTTTATGTACTTCATGTGTGCCTAGTGCCTGCAGAGTCCAGAAGAGGGCTCTAGAACCCCTGCAACTGGAGTTAACAGAGGAACAGAACCCAGGTTCTCTGCAAAAGCTGGGTCATCCCCAGCCCTAATACATGAATTCTTATAAAAGATGAGGAAGTCAATAAGCATTCCTATACACCCAGCACTTGGGAGACAGAGGCAGGGGTCATGAGTTTGTTAGCTTAGATTGCATAGTGATTCAGGCCACCTGAAGGTGCACAGTAAGACTAAAAAACCAAAGCTAGGTAGGAAAAACAAAACAAAATAACAAATACCAAAAAATGAAAAGAGAGACATAAACAGACAGAAACAGGAAAGGTCCAGCGATGAAACAGACCCTTCAAAGGCACCCTCCAGGAAACTTTGTCTTCAATCAAGGCCATATCCTCAGGTTCCCACCACTTCACAACTGCACCTAAGCTGTCAGCCACAAGCCTATGGAGACATTCCAGACTGAAACCATTATGGGAAGCAATGTGGAATTCTGATGGCTGTGTTTAGTTGGTCTTACAAGTATAGTTTTTTAGCTTTTCAAGACAGGGTTTCTCTGTGTAACTGTGGCTGTCCTGGAACTCACTTTGTAGACCAGATCCTCCTGCCTCTACCCCCCAAGTGTTGGGATTAAAAGGCGTGTGCCACCACCACCATCCTGCAAGTACGGTTTTAATTTATTTGTCAGCAGTTACTGATGTATAATCATTTTTTCCTCTAGATCAATGGACAGTGCAGCTGTTTCCAGAGCATTGAACTATTAAAATCTCGCCCTGCTCACTTGGCTGTTTTCTTACATCATGTAGTTTCCCAGTTTGACCCTGCAACATTGGTAATATATTTTATAGTTTACCTGATTGAGCATCCACATATTGATTCATATGCTGGAGAACTTTTCCTCTGCGAAATGAGTAGACAGACTTATTTTCTAAATGTATAAGGATAGGTATGCAGGATACATCAAATGTTATTAATTAAATTATTACCTTTTGTATTTTTTTTTTCACTGTATCTTTTCCATTTCTTTCCCCATGACAGCTCTGTTATCTCTATTCAGACCTATATAAGCAGACCAACTCCAAGGAGACTCGGCGTGTCTTCCTTGAGTTTCATCAGTTCTTCCTGGACCGATCTGCAGTAAGTCACCAAATTATTGCCAGGATCTTCCCTTAGGTGCATTCATTGACCTTGATTTTCTATCCTTTCGCCATGCCATTGAAGGGTATTGTGCTTTTGGACATCCATATTATATCTCAGTTCTTGGTTATGCTTGACTGACTTAAAATATCTCTAAATTAGTTTTGGGTATATGAATTCCTATAGTGCCTTTTAGAGAGTATATATGTATATTTGGAAATTTACATGTGCATGATTAGAATGGGAAATGAAAACGTGATGATACATATATTAGGACCTGGAGGCTAATACTTGGATAATTGAATTCTGAGTGTCTCCCTTGAACATTAGAAACACAAATTTAACTAAAAAGTGGTGGGAAAGGTTGCACACTGAAATCAGCGATAACAGCGCTTTGTTTCACCAATGGAAATTCTAAGGAAGGGGCTCAGTTGGTAGAGTGCCTGCCACACAGGCATGGAGACCCAAGTTTGATTCTGAGCATACGCATGAAAAGCCAGATCCTGGAAGGCAGAGGCAGGAAAATCCTGGGCTTTGCTGGCCGGGAAGCCTAGCCCGTTATGGAGCTCCAGGTTTGGTGAGCCAGCCTGTCGCCAGCAGTAAGGTGGAGAGTGATTGAAGAGAGTGCTCCGTTGTCCCCTGGCGTCCATCCTGAGCTTTCGTGTGTGCATGTGCACGCACCACAAGTACTGACACAAAAAATGCAACTTTTTTACTTGTCACTTTTCCCCCCCTCTAAGACAGGGTTTCTCTGTGTAGTCTTGGCTGCCCTGATCTCACTTTGTAGACTAGGCTGGCCTCGATCTCATAGAGACCCGCCTGCCTGTGCCTCCTCGAGTGCTGGGATTACAACGTGCACCATTGTGCCCAGAGCTTTTTTAACTTTTTTATTTTGTCATGAGCATTGCTAAGTAAGAGTGAATAACAGCACATAATAACTTTCTTGGATGATCTTGTTGCTTGGCCTTTTCCCTTCACCATTCTTTTGTTTGGTTGATCTTTAAAAAATTATTGTTCATTTTGTGTGTGGATGTGCACGTTTGTGTGTGCACACACATATCTGCATATACATGTGAGGCCAGAGGTCAACATCAGGTGTCTTTCCCTATTGCTTTCCACCTTACTTTTTAAATTACAATTAAAAACTTTATTTATTGGTCTCTGTGTGTGTGTGCGTGTGCGCGCGTGCCTAAGTTGTGAATGTGGTGGTCAGAGGGCTACCTGTGGGAGTCAGTTCCACGTGTGTGGGTCCCCGGGATTGAATTCAGGTTTCAGGTTTGATGACAGATACCTTGCCTGTTTGGCCATCTCCTTGGCCCTCCACATTATTTTTTTGAGACTGGGTCTCTCACTGAACCTCAGCTCAGTGATTCAGTAAGACTAGCTGATCACTGTACCCATCCTTCTGTATCTGCCTCCCGATTGCTAAAGTACAGTACTACTAGGCTGCATCCCTATCCCATGTGTACTTTTCTGCACTTGTGCTGAAGTGCTTTTCTTTTTTTTTCTGCTTCTCACATCTTTCCTTCCCTGACACAGAGTATCATATAGCCCGGGCAGGCCTTGGGGTTAAGATTCTTGTCTCTGGTTCCCAAGTTTTGGGATTGTAGACATGTATGAGCATGTCTTGCCATTTCACTCTTCTTAAAATGAACAAAGGGGCCAGAGAGATGGCTCACTCTGTGTGAACAACTTACACTTGTTGTGCAAGTGTAAGTACCTGAATTAGACGTTTGTACCCACATAAGAAGCCAGGCGTCGCTTTGCGCACTTGTAATCCCAGTACTAGGAGGGAAGTTGGAGAGACAAGGATCCCAGGGTCTTTCTAGCCAGCCAGTCTAATAGAATCAGCAAGTCACAGGTTCATTGAGAGACCCTGTTTCTAAAGACTAAGGTAGAGAGTGATACAGGAAGCTAACATTGGCCTTCACAGATGCATGGGGAAGCAGACTCACCCACACATGTGTGCACATATCACATAAACACACCAAAATAAATTATGTAAGGATCTCATAATAGTTTAACACTGACTTATTTTCTTTCTTTCTTTTTCTCAAGACAGGGTTTCTCCGTGTGTAGTCGTGGCTGTTCTAGAACATACTCTGTAGACCAGGCTGGCCTTGAACTCATAGATAGCCGCCTGCCTCTGCCTCCCTGAGTGCTAGGATTAAAGGCATGCACCATCACCGCCCAGCTAGCACATTAATTACACTGACTTATTTTCAAATTTAAAACCTGAGATCTGTATAGGAATTATTTAAATTTAGGAACTATATGACTTTAATACATAATCGGTACAAAATATGTAAGGGATACAAAATTCAGATTGTTAAGTGAAGAACATAACAGTTTGATAATGACCAAAGTCTACATACTTATGGTGAGAAACCCTGGGTAGAAAGAAGTTAATCCTAAATTGCTTGCCTTAGTTGTACAGCAGGAGCTACAGATGATTACTAGAGATTGTAGGACTTAAAAACTCACATGACACCCAGTATTTTCTCATTGGGAATATACCTTGAGATTTAAAAAATTTTCACCTAAGAAAATTACTGAAAATAGCATGGTCTTTAGGATAAGCATCTCAGATTCAGAAATGAAAGCCCTGCTTACATGAGTCAGTTTTTCATATGCAATATATACATAATTTGGGTTTTACTTGTATTATTTCAGATAATGTATGACTGATTATGGTGATGAGAGTCTCTAGCCAGTGTCAGATATTTATTTGGAGTGACACTGAATCACTTATTCTGCTGCCCAGTAAAATAACCATAGTTACTTCTTCACAGGAGAACTCTGGGAAAAGAGCTTATTTCCTTGTCTAGACAGTAGATTCGTCCAGGGCTGTGACGCTTGGATGAGTGCGGTTGGATTATAAGACACCTTTAGGAAGAACTTAGACCCGCTGTTTGGGGTATCACAGAAGTCTGCAGTGCTGTTTTAACTTTGGTTTGCATTCTGTTTCAGCACCTGAAAGTTTCTGTGCCTGAGGAAATCTCTGCGGATCTAGGTAAGTTTGAGGTACCCAGCATCCTCAAAGATGACCAACTCCATCAGAATGGAGCTGCTCTCAGTTCTGCTGTTTTTTGTTAGGTTAGTCAAGCCGCTTTAACCACATGAGTCATAGCAGAAGATGAAATTGAATTCTGACCGGAAGTGTAGTAACTTCTCTGGTTTATTAAGTTCAGTTTGTACTGTATAATGTCACCAGTGTCTGCTTGCGTGGACTATATCTCTAGATCAATTAATTCCTTTTCTGTATGCAGAAAAGAGACGACCTGAGCTTATTCCTGAGGACCTGCATCGCCATTACATTCAAACTATGCAGGAGAGAGTCCACCCTGAAGTTCAGAGACATTTGGAAGATTTTCGGTAAGTCCGGTATCAGAGAAAACTTTCTATGCTTATTCTGATTTACTTGACTTATTTTCTTTAATAGGAAAAAACTACATATGAAATATTTCACTCATCACTAGGCCGACCATATGTTTTTACCCTGTTATTAAAAGTAATGGGCACCTGATTTCAAAGGGTTGGATGAGAGCTCAGAGTCCACAGTCTCCATTCATGTCCTTTCAGGAGTCACGCTCAGTGCTGTGTTCATGTTACATGTGTTCCTTTAAGAACTGTGTCAGAAGCGTTGATCACTGCTAGAACCCTGACTGGCTTGGTCACAAGTAGGAAACATGGCATTTGCCCGTCCCTAGTAACTTGTAGGTAGGGCTGTCTACACATCTAGAGGGAGACAGTTTGTTCTCTGCTAACTGAGATTTCTTTTCCCCAACCCTTTTAGACAGAAACGTAGCATGGGACTGACCTTGGCTGAGAGTGAGCTGACTAAACTTGATGCAGAGAGAGACAAGGACCGGGGAACTCTGGAGAAGGAGCGAACGTGTGCGGAACAGATCATCACCAAAATCGAAGAAGTGCTGTAAGTCAGAACTGCATGTAGAAAGGCTGCTTTTCCACGGAGCACCCTTTGAGCAGACATAACCGGGCAGTCAGACTGTGCGCGTTGGACTGTTTGTCATAACACTTGGAAACAGAGTTTCTTCCTGATAGTCCTGCCTTTTTTAAATATGAGTGTTGGTTAATGAGTAACTCCAAAACTTGTAGTCAGTGATCAGAGCCAGGTGAGCACTTTGACTAAGCAGTGTATTAAGCAGTTCACGGGCTTTGGGAATTCTTGCGGCTGTAAAGCATGTTCAGCTAATAACATGTGAAGTGGTGTGGGTCCTCCGTGGATTAGAGTTCTTTCAGTATTTTATTCTAGATGTAGATGGGACGCCAAACATTTAGTTCTTTTCTATTGTTTCAGGTATTTGAGCTTAAATAGCAAATCTCTGATTAAATATGTGTGTTTCTTTGATCTTTTTTGATGGTGCCTTGGACTGAGCCCAGGGCCTTGTACCATGTGAGGCAAGCTCTCTGTCACTGACTTACAGATGGATCATCTCCAGATGTAGATATTTCATCTTAAAAAATGTTTATTTTTAGGATGACTGCTCAGGCTGTGGAAGAAGAAAGGAGGTAATATAATGTTCCCTACCCCCCAACTAGAGCTATTTATTCTGTCTGATCTAAATGACAACTTCTTTTAACTTCAAATGTAGACTGTAGGCTCCCTCTGGTGGCCTGTATTTTATTTGACTTGTACTCTATTGTCAGCTCCCTCTGGTGGCCTGTATTTATTTGACTAATAACTATCACATGGATAGAATAGGTTTCTGCCTTGATAAATTCCAACAATGGGGCTCTAGAAAGCACGTGATCTCTTTATTTTGACTATCCTTTGCACATCAGAACTCTGATTTTACTTAATCATTTGTCCTCCAGTTCCACAATGCAGTATGTTATTCTCATGTATATGAAACATCTGGGAGTGAAAGTAAAGGAACCTCGAAACTTGGAGCACAAACGGGGTCGCATTGGATTCCTTCCAAAGATCAAGGTAAGACTGTGGTAGTAACGGTGGGCTTCCGTGCGGCTTCTTCACATTTGGTCATGTTTCCCTTGCCTGTGTTTACTAAACCAGCACATTAGCACTAAGCCTCAGGCTAGGTCTAATGGGGTCTCTTTTATCAAGAAACTAAACATTTAGTGAGAAAGCCACACGTCTATAAGGTTATTATTAGATACTGTAAAGAGATTATATGCTTGCCATCTGCAACTTAGTGCCTTAGACTTTGCTTCAGGGTGCCTGTCGCGGTTTATAATTATTTGGTTTTATTTAATGTTTGCTAGATTGTAAAGATCTGTGAAGACCAGGACATTCCTCATTAGTATGTCCCCAATTTTTAGCATAGTGCTTTTTCATATTCTGAAAGTATTGAATGGTGAAGGAATAATGTAAAACATTCTCATGACATACATAAACTTTTGTCAACAAACTTCTAGTAAAATTGCCCTTTTATTTTCTAAGAGTAGAAAATTTTATTGAAAAGCTGTCTTGAAAGCTGAGTGCTGTAGTGCAGGCCTGCACTACCAGCACTTAGGAGTTACAAGCAGGAGGATCTAGAGTTCAAGGTCACCTTTGGCTATATAGTGGTCTTAAGCCCACTAGACTACATCAGATGCTGCATCAAACCAAATTAATAAATTAATTAGCCAATTAATTAATTAAAAAATAAGGCACCTTGAGTTTGAGATTCACATACAGTTTGCCAAGCGGCAGTGGATGCAGTGAGTTCTTCCTTTGTATTTTACTGGTTCCTCTCGCCTAGCTGTTACAATCATGTTGCTGTATTTGAAAGCAAGAACAAAATCTGCTGTTTGATGTCTTTAATCTTATCATAATTGTACCTCAAATTTAGCAAAGCATGAAGAAAGATAGAGAGGGCGAAGAAAAAGGGAAGCGAAGAGGATTCCCCAGCATTTTGGGACCCCCAAGGAGACCAAGCCGCCATGACAACAGTGCAAGTATGTTGAGGCTTGAGCCGTTGCTCCCTGCTGCATCACTCAGAAGCTGGTTGGGTCAGGATGTGTTGCTGGAGGCGGCTGCTCTAGAGCTAATGTTGGTCGTGCTCCCCTGTGCCTTGCTTCCTTCCAGTGCTGTTTTTGAACTAAGTTTGCCTGCGTTGCTATATTAATTGTTGCAGACATCTTCATCAGTGACAGTGTGCTATCACATGCGTGTCATGACTTGCAACCTCTGAATTTATGCGTGCATATTCAGGTTACATTCGCTAAATTGAAGGGAAAAAAAAGAATTTTTGGGCCAGGGAGCTAGCTTAGTTGGTAAAGTTCTTGGAAGAGACTCAAGTTCAGTATGTAGAACCTATGTTGAGAAAAAAAATAAATGCCTCATGTTAGGGAGCCAGAGACAGGTGGGTCCCTGGCCTGCTGGCCTGGCCTCCTTACCGAGTTCCAGGTGAGCCAGAAGCTTTGTCTCAGAAAAGAATTTGGACCTTGACTGAGGAATGGAAGTGGCACCAAAGTTGTCTCATTCAGAGTCGCACACGCATGAACACGCGCACATGTACACACACTCACACATGTGCACCTGCACATGCAGACACAAATATACTTGTGAACCTGTACGTGTAGACTGCACACATGTCCATACACACATACATGTGCATACACACCTGGTCGTGATTGCTCCACTATAACTTGTTTAATCTTTTTTTACTTGCTGTTTCTCATTCTCACCATACTTCTGTAGTCTGATATCCTGTCACCTCCATCTCAGAGAGAGAGCAGACCACAAGACAGGGTGACAGCAGAGGTGGAACTGTGGTACCGTAGGAAGGCAGCCAGCCTGTGCTGTGCTTCTCGTCAGAGACATTTCTGCATGGAGATGCTGGCATGCTGGGGTGGCAGTACTGTTGAACAGTGATGCTGTGTCTCCAGGCCATGCAGAGTCCTCATGCAAATTCCAGTAGCATAGGCCGGGAAGTTGTGACAGGTAGAGGAAATTTTCAGAGAAGAAGAAGATGGACTTAAAACCAGGGCTACAGAGCCATGTAAGGAATGTGTGAGGTAGCAGACGGATTGCCTGAATGGCTGAAGTTTCTGAAAGTACCCTGTGTGAACAAGAATACCAAGCAGGATGGTGATATTGTGCGTGTAAATGGAAAAGCGGAGTGGGGCTCCCTTAGCTCTCAAAGATAAAGGCTACTCCTTCGTTTTCACAGACGATAAAACTGTCTCCCAGCATTGCCTCTACCCTTACTACTGCCACTCTCCCTCAGCTCCTCATTATATTCTCTTTTCCCCTGCTCTGCTCCTCTTTTTCTTATCTACTCTCTTTCCTCCTTTATTCTTCTTTCATCTCCCACCTTTCCATCTCCCATTCTCTTTGTGTCCGTTTTTTGCTGTGTGTAATAACTGTACACACTTGTTCAGATTTTTTCATCTACCCCTTTCCCTCTAAAGCCGTTTGCATCACAGGCAACTGATCATTGCTTTGTGTTCAGTTGGCAGGGCCATGGAGATACAGAAGCTACGCCACCCTAAGCACTTATCTGCACCCTCATCTGTGAGTCCTGAGCCTCAGGACCCTGCCAAGTTACGCCAGAGTGGATTAGTCAATGAGGGGACAGACACTGGATACCTGCCTGCCAGTTCCATGTCCTCTGCCACTTCGGGGGCTGTTCTTTTCCAAGAGGGAGGGAAAGAGAATGATACAGGTGAGTCATGCTTTAGTTGAGCCTAACTTGGGGTCAAGATTTTGATATAAAGCACACTGAGCAACCAATAGAGAAATAGAGTATTTTAACTGAAACTGAATCCCAGTTTAATTTGATTTAAATATTTTGTATTTTATAGTCTGCAATGGGCATGTGCTGCGTGATAAAAACACAGAACACTCGTTGAGCTCTCGAGTGTTGGCTTGCCCGGGTGCCAGCACATGTCGGCATGCACAGATGCCGTTTGAAGCAGTTACACACAGAAAGTCACAATCAAAAATGCATGTCTGTCTTCCTGGGTGTGGTGACAAACACAGACTAGAGGCAGAAGCCGTAGGATCACAGGTTCAAGGCCAGCCAGGCATACCTAGGGAGACTGTTCATAAACAAGAGGACAACATGGGTAAAGATTGGAGATTTTTCCACTCCAGGAAGGAAAAATTAGAGGGATTGAGGAAGCTGGCTAGTTGTTATTGGCAGGTAGGTGTTGTGTTTTCTGAAGATAGTAGAGTTGGGGTTTAATAAAGACATTTAAGACAGGCTTAAGCACCAGGGATAGAGAGAAAGAGAGGCGCTAAGAGGAGGGGAGGCACCTTGAGAGCACAGACGCCTCTGGGGACAGCTACTTAGATAAGTCTCAACACTTACAGATCTTAGTATCCTCCACCACATGAGTCCCAGGGATCAAACCCCAGTTATCAGGCGTGGCAGCAAACAGACTCAGATAAATCTTGAAGAAAACTTAGAAACCTAAGATTCTTTGTTTTTGTTTGTTTTGTTCTTGTTTTTTGAGTTAATGAGAATTCAGCAGCAAGAAGAGGTCGAATATTGGGACTAGAGCTATTTCCACACGGCAGGAAAAATAAAAAAGGCCAAGTCACCTGTACTGTGTTGATGCTTACACATTGCATCGCCACTCTTCCTTGGAAACACTTGCTTACTAGAGTTAAGAGGCGAGGGAATATATAATGCTGGACTTTATTTTTCCTTTTTTGTGTGTGTGTGTGTGTAGCTTTGCCTGTCCTGGACTCACTCTGTAGACCAGGCTGACCTTGATTCCCCAGTCTCTGACTCTCAGAGTGCTGGGATCACAGGTGTACGCCATCATGCCTGGCTCAATGCCAGATGTTTTAAACAGTGATATAAAGATCGAAAAGCCACGCCTAGAGGAATAGCTTAATGGATGACAGATAAGGACTTTAAAAATACCTCTAAGATAGTATACTTGGGAATAGTAAAGAAATTGTAAAGAATAGGATCCCATAAAAAAGATATCAGAGATAAGCTTTAATTAAAGGTTAAATACGGTAGAGCAAGTATTGTTGTTAATTGTGTAAACAGTCACTCTAGGCTTGATGGCATAATACAGAAAATATTATCTCACTTTTGTGAGTGAAGAACTTCCTGGCTGCTTGGCTAGGTAGTTCAGATTTGAGGTCTCCCGTGAGAGAAAGAAGCATACTCTTCCATGCCACTCAGGTGAGGCCTAACTTAGAGCCATGTGGACTTTTGCAAGAGCTGCTTGAATGTTCCAGGACATCGCAGCTGTCTCCTCAAAGTGATCCAAAGGAAGGGACAAGGAGAAAGTTCTGCTGTCACCTCAGCAAGTTAGAAGCAAGTCACCAAATCCATCCATACTTCAGGAGAGAGAAGTTAGAGTCCATCTCTAAAGAAACATTAATAAGTTTATGAACATGTTTTGTAACCACTACAGTTGCCAGTATTTAAAGGGCCATGTGTGTGTAGACTCTCTGAAATTAATATACTCCAGTACATGTAAGAAAAGAAAACAATATCAACAACAAAACTACAAACAATACACCAGAAATCTGAAAAAAAAAAAAATAGTATTTGGGGAATCACGAGAGAGATCCATCTCTTACTCAGCGTCAGCAGAGAGGATGGAGAAGAGGAAGAGAAAGTAGGAAAGGTTTCCAGCATCAGAATAACAGTATGTTTACATAGACAGGGCAAGGAGAATCAACCACTGTTATGTGTTACTTGATAGATGAGGATTGTGTTGTATCACTTGTAACACTGAATAGAAAAGAATATGGTTTTCACCTCTCTGCAAGAAAATGGCTTTTACTTTTAGTTGTGTATCCTAAATTATCTGTCAGATAGGAAGAATGAGTAAGGACATTTTCAGGCATGTGATAATCTAAAGTTATCTAACCAAAAGTCCTCACACCTTGAACATTGTTTGAGGCTGTACTTCTTCAAGACGAGAGAAAAGTTAAGTAAGTCATGGGATACAGGAAACAGCAGCAGAAGAGCCACAAGGCATGATGGTATCACACACGCCAAAGAACCATGCCTCCAGATTGGAGCACAGCGAGTCAGGAACAAGAAAAGAGATTTGGGGCCCAGGAAGATGGTTTTATAGTCAAGTGCCCATTGTAAGAGCATAAGGACAGAGTTCATTGCCTCTGGCAGCCATACAGAAGCTGGGTATAGTGGGACACATCTCTAGCATGGTGATGGTGGGGACATAGGTGTTCCTTAGAGCTCACTAGCCAGCCAGCCTAGCCAGTAAGGTAAACCCTGTCTCAAAAACATAAGGTGGAGGACTATCAAGACATCCTATGCTGTTCTACATAGAAACACACTCTCTCACACACACTACACACAAAAAAAAAGGGAAAAGAGGACTTTTAAGCAGTTGGTAATATGAGGTAGCAGAAGAAAAAAAAAATGAGACTTCATAAAATAATACTTTACTAATAGAGGAAAGGATTTAAGTATATAAAGAAAAACACCTGTTTAAGAAAGTAAGTCATGGGGCTAGAGAGATGGCTCAGAGATTAAGAGCACTGGCTGTTCTTATAAAGGTCCTGAGTTCAATTCCCAGCAACCACATGGTTGCTCACAACCATCTATAGTAAGATCTTCTGCCCTCTTCTGTCATGCAGGTATACATGCAGACAGAATACTATATAAATAATTTTTATATGCAAATATATGCTTTTTAAAAAACTTTTCCCAGCATTTAAAATTTTTTTTAAATTTATTACAATTTATTCACTTTGTATCCCAGCTGTAGCCTCTTCCCTCCTCCCTTCCCAGTCCTGCCTTCCTTTCCTCTCCTCCCCTAGTCCACTGATAGGGGAGGTGCTCCTGCCCTTTTATCTGACCATAGCCTATCATCTCTCATCAGGACTGTCTGCATTGTCTTCCTCTATGGCCTGGTAATGCTGCTCCCCCTCCAGGGTGAGGTGGGCAAAGAGCCAGCCACTGAGTTCATGTCAGAGACATGTTTCCCTTACTAGGGAACTCATTTGGAGACTGAGCTGCCATGGGCTACATCTGTGCAGGGTTTTTAGGTTATCTCCATGCATGGTCCTGGGTTGGAGTATCAGTCTCAGAAAAGACCCTGGGCCTAGATCTTTTGGTCCTGTTGCTCTCCTTGTGGAGCTCCTGTCCCCTCCAGGTTTTTCTATCTCCCCCTTCTTTCATAAGATTCCTTGCGCTTTGCCCAAAGTTTGACTATGAGTCTCAGCATCTGCTTCAATACCCTGCTGGTCTTTCAGAGGCCCTCTGTGGTAGGCTTCTGTCCTCTTCCCTGTTTTCTCCATCTTCCAATGTCTGTCCCGTTTGCCTTTCTGAATGAGGATTGAGCATCTTACCCAAGGTCCTCCTTCTTGCTTAGCTTCTTTAGTTTAGTATGAAGCTCCTATATTATATGTCTAATATCCACTTCTAAGTGAATATATACCATGTGTATCTTTCTGCTCCTGGAATACCTCACTCAGGATAATCTTTTCTAGTTCCCACCATTTGCCTGCAAATTTCATGATTTTCTTGTTTTTAATTGCTGAATAGTATTCCATTGTGTAACTGTACCACAATTTCTGTATCCATTCCTCAATTGAGGGACATCTGGGTTGTTTCCAGATTCTGGCTGTTAACGAATAAAGCTGCTATGAACATGTTTGAGCAAATGTCCTTGTTGTATACTTGAGCATATTTTGGATATATGTTTGTAGTCGTGGCTGAGTGGTTAAGGCCATGGTCTAGAAATCCATTGGGGTTTCCACACGCAGGTTCGTATCCTGCCGACTATGGGTGTTTTCTTTGGCACTATACTGTTGCAGCTTAGGAGTTGAGGGATGGTATTCTAACTAATAATAATAATGATGATGATGATGATGATGATGATGATGATGATGATGATGAAGGTCAGTCATTCTTGAAACGTGAAGCAAGCCGGATGCTGTGCACACGCGTCTACTCAGAAACTGGGACGTGGGTTGCAAGTTGCAGGCCACTCAATAAGAAATGAGGGCTGCTAGCATGCACTCAGCAGGGAAGGTGCCTGCCATCAAGCCTGACCCCCTGAGCTTGATCCCTGGACCCCACATGGTTGCATAAGAGAGGCAGCTTCTGCAAGTTGTCTACTGACTTGCACATGCTCACACACAAACACATGCTTGTGTGTGTGTGTGCACACACACATACACAGACACAAAACAAGTATAAAAAATGTTTTTAATTAAGAAAGAAAAAAGGAAACAAGTGGCCTGATCATGAAAAGCAGCTGATGGAGTGTGAGACTTGAGAATAGTAAGCATTGTGTTTTAAGTGGCCAACTTGTTGCATAATTGGTGGCAGTAGGAAAGAAAATATTCCAACCAGCATGCTGCCTTCTTAACCCGAGGAACAGTATGCATATGTGCTGCAGGATGTATTTGACCATATGTATATCACCATAGGAATGAAAACACACTGGATTGGTGTTCGGACATTTAGAATCATCCTACTAGGCAAAGTACAAAATAGATATTCCATTGTGTCCACAGATCAGAAGTGTCAGGAAGCATTTTAGAAGGAAGTATATGGGAATTAAATCCCTTGCCTGACACGGAAGAGAGTTAACATTCTCCTTAAGGTAGTAAACTGGATGTATATTTGGATTTCTGTAATGCCTCATAACCCAATTTTAATAACATAACTATCAAACATTGGGAGGGGCAGAAAATGAAGGCAGGAGGTATAAATGAGCAGACTCCCCGAGAAAGAGATACAGGTGACAAACCAAGAGAAAATGTTATTTGGAATTGGTCCACTCTAACGGCTCCTGTTAGAAAAGACAGGGTGAGGCAGGAGGCTGCTTCTCATTTCAGTGTTCCCAGCTGACATGGCACCTTGCCTTGTCTTTTTTTAAAATTAATTTTCATAATTTCATTTATGCCTATCTAGCATACTGACCACTCTCACTTCCTGCCTCTCTCCTGCCTGCCTCCCCTCCCCACATCTCTTCTGTTGGAGTTAAAGGGTCTCAGCAGAGGCAATACATAGGAGAATGATTCCACCTCTCCCAGAATCTACCGATAGGAAGTCATTCAGGGGAAAAAGGCACCTGTGGAATTTAGGGAACATGCAGAAGTTGGGACTCTACTTCATTCAGGGATCACACTCAGGTTGTCATGCTGTGGGCAAGTACTTTTACTGCTCTACCACCTCATCAGCTCTTCTGCTGCTCTTTTAGAGGATACTTTAAAAATGATTTTTCTGCCAGGTATGGTGGTATATGCTTTTAATCCCATCTCACAGGAGGTGGAAGCTTCAGAGCTCTATGAATTCAAGGCTTTCCAGGGCGGTTGTGTTTTAGTGCATTGAAGAGTTTTATATGTTAAAATCTTGATTCTGGCTGGCTTATTTAAGTAGAATGTGACTATGAATTAGGTTGAGGTTCTTCTGGGGATTGATTGGGTTTTTTGGTTGTTGATGTTGCTGCCTTATTTTAAACAGTTAGTGACTGACTTTTGAATTTTTTTTTTTTTTTAGGATCAAAACAAGTTGGAGAAGCATCAGCTCCTGGAGACTGCATGGACAGCACACCTCGTGTGCCCAATACTGTTTTTGACTTCACCCCTCCTTTGTTAGATCAAGTGCAGGAGGAGGAATGTGAAGTAGAGAGGTAATTCAGCTAGAGCTGAGAGCTTTGTGATTGCTTAGAATTTCCTGAATGTCTGGCATAAAATGTTTTGAAAGAAGTCTGGTTGGTAGTAAATTTTAAATCCTATTGAATTTTTTTTCTGTTAATTTATGTTAAATAACTTTTGTATCTTGGAATATGTCTTTCTTGATCTCCATTCTGCTCTCCTGTTACTTCTTATTCTCTGTTGTTTCAGGGTGACAGAACATGGAACTCCCAAACCCTTTCGAAAGTAAGTAAATCTTCAGTAGCTTTTATTTAAATTGAGCGTTTCTCCTCTAAAAGTCCTAACCTTAAAGGAAAAGAAACCCTATTAATAGTCTGTGAGTATGAGTGAAAGCTCTTCGTAAACTCAAATTATCCAAAGACTGCATACAAGTGTACATACAGTAACAAGCTGTTTGTAAGAGCGGAGAGTGCTTTAGGCCCAGTGCTGAACCAGATGCAGGCTACAGCAAATTAAGACTCATGGGGCTTCCGTGATAGCCCAGCTGGTAAAGCATTTGCCCCACAAGCATGAGAACCTCAGTTCAGCTATCCAGTACCCATAGGAAAAGCCAGGCGTGACAAGACCCTGTCAAAAAGAATAAAGTGAAGAATAGTCACGGAAGACACCTGAGGCCAGCCTCTGGCCTCCACATGCATGTGCACACATAATACATGTATCCATATACACATGAACATACACAAAAGGTTTGTGAGTCTTCCGTTGTCCACCTGAAGCCCTCAAACAGAATTTGCCATTTATTTGTTTGCTTGATTGATTAGGTTTGACAGCATCGCCTTTGGAGAAAGTCAGAGTGAGGATGAACAGTTTGAAAACGACCTAGAGACAGATCCACCCAACTGGCAGCAGCTTGTTAGTAGAGAAGTGTTATTGGGACTGAAGCCTTCTGAGATCAAAAGACAGGAAGTGATTAATGGTAAGTTTAATCAATCTGTTGTTGGCCTTATACATTTAAATTTACCAGAATGAAGCAAATTTCTCAGCCTTTGAATTGCTTTTTTTTTAATTGACCTTTTGTTTTAAAAAATGACAAAATTAAGCTATATTCTTGAGCCTTTAAACATAAACAGTACAAGAGATGAAACAGTTTGTGATATAATCTAAAAGGAAAGGGTGCTTAGCTTTCAGGATACTAAAGATCCATAGCATTATAGATGTGAAACCTGAAAACAATCAGTGGCTCACTAGCCCTGGACTACCTTGAGGTTACGTTCTAGACACAGATTATCAAGAGCAAGCTAAACTTAGGAAGAGTAGTCGAGTAACAGGTGATGAGTGACGAGAAAAAAAGTAGGATTTAGGTCCTCCAGGTAGAGGGTACAGGCCATTGTTGAGGGGGAATCAAAGCAGGAACTCAACGCAGCCAGTCAAGTGACATCTACAGAGGAGCAGAGAGTGACTGCCCCTGTGCCATCTCCGCTCTCATCTAACCTTCTGTCCTGTATAGTCCCCTCAAGGGAATGATGTTGCCCACAATGCTCTGGGTCCTACATCGTTCAACAGGACAATCCCACCCCAGATATGCCCGCAGACCAACCTGTTACAGGCATTTACTCAATTGAGACTCTTTCCCCAGGTGATTCTAAGTTGTGGCAAGTTGACATCACAGTTACCTTAACATGTACGTAACAAGTATGTGACAGGTGTGCTGTACCCTCTGCTGTCCCTATGACTTGATTTCAATAAATGTCTTAGTTTTTGAGGACAGGGAAATCTACTACAGTTGCAGAATGACTCTAGAAATTAGGTTTTATGGTTAAATAAACTAAATATTATTTCTGAAGAGTGCTTAAGGCTATCTTAGTAGAATTTGCTGTGTTCTGGTGCGGTAAATTCATATTGTAAATGGGTGAGTTTGGGGTAACTGCTAATTAACTTTCAAACGTAAAGTATTTTTGAGTGATACTTTTTATTAGTTTCATTAATCTGCTGTGTTTCATAAAATCAGTGTGATTTTTAGAAACCTGCTGTCTTTTCAAATATAAAATATTTTTGAATGATGTTTTTCATTAGTCTGTGTTTTATGAAATAGTCTGATTTTAGAGACATGCCATTCTTTCAAAATGTTAATTTATTACATAAAGCATTTGCTACCTAATAACAATGGAAGGACAATGTTTGGTCTCATGGAATGAGTCTAAATAAAGCAACGTTCTGTACCTCCTTCTCCTCTCCCCTGCCTAGAATTGTTCTACACCGAGAGAGCTCACGTCCGAACATTGAAGGTTCTCGACCAAATATTCTATCAGCGAGTGTCCAGAGAAGGAATTCTGTCACCTTCAGAACTACGCAAGATTTTTTCAAACTTGGAAGATATTCTTCAACTTCATGGTAAGAGAAATTGACTGTGATCCTGTGTCTACATTTCTAGTAGAGAAAAGACTATGATTGTGTAAAGGCACATTAGAACTAGTTGAGTGTAATTTATGCATACCTGACACTTTATGTGAACACCTCATACAAAGAGAGGTGATCAGATCTTTGACTAAATCTTTTCCCCATCATTGTATACGAAGTATTAACCTTTTGTATACAAAGTATTAGCATTGGGCTTTTCTTGTCTAAAGTTAGTACCTAAAGTGAAAAACATGAGTGGTCAAAATTAACCATAATAATGTCCTATCAAATACGGTGTGTGTATAACAAGATATAGTTATATGCACAATACATATATACATATATATGCACACTATATAGTATACATATATAAACTATATTTTATACATATATAAGCTATATATGTGTAGTATACTATATATGTGTATATATAACAATACATATAAACTATATACACACATATATGTATACATATATACTTTAAAATATATATCACATGTAATATATGCATGTAAATATATTTTATAAATAGTAAAATCAGTATTAATCCCTTGGTTAGATACTTTTCAGCAAGTTTTGTTGTTTGGTGCTTAGGACCCGTTCATGTGTCCTGCCCCAGGTGAGTCACTGGCGCTTCTGAGGGAGTATAAGATGCCCTCCTCTCTGTAAGCCACTGTTTCTCTGTGGCCCTTAGTTTTTGTGGTCAAAGGAATCATTAGTTTGTCAACCGAAGCAATGCGTTTTGTGGGCGATTCCAGATTTCAGTGGCATGCAGTGTATTGTCTACATCCAGGGTCTTTGTGAGCTTGGCTACAGAACGAGGCCTTGAGGGTAAACAAATACTTGATGCACCACACTATCACCAGTATACTAGTGCCTAAAATAGAGTTTAATGCTTTCGGACCCATGGCCAGGAAGAACTCTCAGGACCTACCTGTGTAAGCACCATGTGCAGAAAACATTAACGTAGTTTGGGAGCAGCTATGCTACTCTGAAGTTTAAAAAAAAAAAAAAAAAAAAAAAAAAAGTTAACTGCTTCTTGCTACCAGTAATTCAGATTAAAGTAAGTTTGGACTTAATCTTTTTTTTTCCTTCCTTAGTTGGGTTAAATGAGCAAATGAAAGCTGTTCGAAAGAGGAATGAGACGTCTGTTATTGATCATATTGGGGAAGATCTGCTCCTCTGGGTAAGGAAATTGAGAACTGCTATTAAACATTTTTACAGACACTTGATCAGATTCAGGGGTAAGTGATAAATGCTTCCAAACTGCAAACGCATCAATTTTGCAGAGTTAATATGTAAATAAAAAGGGCCCAGATTATTGTTTTATTGGTCAGTTTGTTCTAATTGGACTAAGTGCTTGGTCTCATTGAGATGCAGGCACACTGATTTTTGTGTTTTACAAACTAAAGAGTCATGCATTTTATTAATTCAAGTGACAAAGAAGTAATAAAGTTCTTGTGTTCAAACCTTAGATATGTACCATATAATATTAGGCAATTATAGATCATAAATGTCAGTAGTGAAAATTACTTAATCTTATTTCCAGTATAAGGAAAGAAGCCAGAGGCTATCGTAACTGTCAAATTCTTTCTGTCTGTACAGATTCATTTTATTGTACATGTATGATTGTTTTGCCATTATATATGTGTCTGTGCCACATGTATGTCTCATGCCAATAGAGGTGAAAAGAAGGCAGATCCAGTTTGGATTCCCTGGAACTGTAGTTATGGAGAATTGTGAACCATCGTGTTTGTGCTGGGAACTGATCCAGGTCCACTGTGTTCGTAACCACTCAGCCATTTCTCCAGCCCCTGATAGTCAATTTATATTAAACAAAACTGTGTAGAGTTCTGGGGAAAGTGTCAACCAAGGCACATGACTTCTGCTTTCATAGAACTTATGATGGGAAAACTGTGGCGTTTTGATTGTTTTGTTTTAGGCAGGATCTCAGTCCTGGCTGGGCTGGAACGGTTTTTATTTTATTTTTTTAAATAATGTCTTACTATGTCACTCCAGTTGATCTGGAACTCACCCAGATCTGCCTCTCTCTGTTTCCATGTGCTGAATTAAAGTTGTGCCATACCATGCCTGGCCATTGATTTAACCTTTTGGAAGTAGCTACTTTTGTGAATAAAGATAGTATGTGTGGCTTACAATTTTAATAGAACTCAAATAACAACACTTTAATTATGCCCACAGAAATTTCCTACCTCATACTTATTACTTAGGAAATATATTTGAAAATGATTGACAAGTCAAAGAATCAACGAAGGTGGCCTTACTGCTGTCATTGGTGCAGTTATCACATAGCATCTAGTAAGCTGAGAGTGGGTCTCATGTAACTGCTTGTTCAGAACTCAAGCAAGACATTTTAATCCACTCCCACCGTGATTTTGATTCAGGTTCCAAAACATTTCCTCTCCTAGGTCACTCTGGCATTATTGTTTTCAAAAGATGTAACCCCACTGAGGAATTGAGCTTGCTCTTTCGTTTATCCTGTGATACTGTGACTCATGTTGGTTTTGATTTCAGTATAGCAATGAAAGGTAAAATACATGTCCATGGCTGAATGGTACATTGTTTAACTTGAAGCAAAAAGTTTAGAATCTTAGAAAAATCCACATTTCCTTTTTAAAATATGACAGTGAGACATCAGTTTCTCATATCAAACTTCAAAGTTGTATAGACTTAAGATACTGCACCTTGATTCTCAGGCAGATTCATTTAAGACTTTTATAGACGTCTTAGGGATTGTTATTAAGGCACAAAATAATATTTGGTTATGTGGTAAAATAGACCCATCAGCACAGTGGGAACCCAAATATTTCTTTTAGAACACAAACTGAAACGTGATTTTTTGGTTTTGTTGTTTTTCAGTGCTAAGGATAGAACCAGAGATTTACATATGCTAGGCTAGCATTGTCCCACCTTCCATCCCAAGAAGCATATTACTAACCAATATTGTATTTAAAAATGGAGGGAAAACAGGATTAGTAAATCAATCTGATTTATTATCCATTGCATATCAAGGGTTGATTGAGGGGAAAGTACTTACCATAAAAACTAAAAGTGAAAGCATCAATTGGTCTTTATATTTGCATATAATATTCCTAGTTTTTGGTCTACTTCCTTTTTTTGGTGCTTGCCTTTGTGGTTAGGGCTTGTGCTGTAGCTCTGAGGTCTGCCTTTATCTCCTCCCCTTGTATATTATAATTGTGGGGAGGCATGCTCCTGTCATAGCCCATGTGTGGGGTCAGAGGGCAGCTGCGCTGTGGGAGCTGACTCTCCTTCAGGTGGTTTCTTCAGCTAAAACTCAGGTGTCAAGCCTGCATGGCAAGCACTTTGAGCTGTCTTACTAGCCACTCTCTCCTATTTTTGTTTTGTTTTAATGTTGAGAGTTTTAGACATGAGTACTGTATTTGCATTGTTTCTCTCTTTTTTTTATTTTTTTTATTAATTACACTTTATTCATTTTGTATCCCCCCGTAAGCCCCTCCCGATCCCACCCTCCCCAAGTCCACTGATAGGGGACTCCTTTCCTTTCTGATCTTAGTCTATCAGTTCTTGTCAAAAGTGGCTGCATTGTCCTCTTCTGTGGCCTGGTAGGGCTGCTCCCCCCTCAGGGGGAGGTGATCAAAGAGCAGGCCAATCAGATTATGTCAGAGGCAGTCCCTCTTCCCATTACTATGTAACCCACTTGGACATTGAACTGCCATGGGCTACATCTGTGCAGGGGTTCTAGGTTATCTCCAT